GCGGGTAAAAGGACAGCAAGGCTAGTCAGAAAACAGATGGTGACAGTACTTAGCGTTCATGTACTGCTGTAGGAACACTGACCCAACATATCATGATAATAATGTGTTACTCAAGGAACAATAAATCTCTGGGAAAAGAGCACAGTCCAATGCAGTTTCAGAAACTTCAGTATTTTGGGGGAGATAAACTGATTTAAACGTCAACAATGAGCAAACTGAGTAACTCAGTACAGATGACTGAATTCATTCATGCGTCAAAATAAGTTTCCCCCAGAGCCTGAGGAAGACTGTTCCTTGTTTGTACCACATGAAATGACAGTGGGAGATGGAGAGCTCCTACATTTTCTTGGCCTGGGCCTCCTCCCTCCTGTTCTGTTTCCCGGCAGGCAGATGAACCCAGCAGAAAGGAAGCTGCTACCAAGTTCCAGAAGAAAGTCCAAGTGCTCGAGTATTTCTGGCAGTAATTTCTCTAAAAAGATACACCTTCGGGCAGCTCTTGTACGATGCTTTTTTTTGGTCTCCTTGCAGGTGCCAGACAGCACCTTCTAATGAAACAGCTGACGTTTAATTGATATGGATCCCACCTGCAGACAGTCATCTTTTAAGTGAGATGCTGGGCCTGAGAAAAAGTTGCTCAGGCAAAGGCACTGACTTTTTCATGCTGAAAAAGTGGCGTTTTTCATGTGAAGGAACAGGGCGGTGACATATTTAAGAAGTACAGGGTGCTCTGGGTCTCTGTGCCCATGACTGCTGTGGCTGTGCTGGCAACCTCTCTTCCCCATGGGTCAGCCCCCACAGTGGCTTGTCACTCATCTGCTGGCATTTACTGCCATGCTCCGGAGAACCCGGGAACCCTTCTGTCTCTGCCAAAATGATTTTGCTTCACTTATGCAGTTTAAACAGTAGATTTATTTCAGTCGAAGTGGACTGGGGAGCTGCTGGGGGGTGGGTTGAGGAAGTTAGTGGTGTGTTAGTGGAGACAGTGGTAGTGAGATGTGTTCGCAGTCTATTGAACTCTCAACCTTTCTCCAGCCTCGTGCCGGCATTTTACTCTTATGTTTCCTTCTGGGAGAGGGTAATTATACCCACATGGAATTGTGTGCAGAGAATAGGTGCTGCAGCACCTGCCTGTCTGCACTGAAGTAGCGCTGAGCTTTTTTTCTCACTAATTTGGGTATCTGTTTGCTCTGTGCAGCTGTCTTTCATTAGATGCCTTTTTGACTCAGACCTTCATCTTGAGCCATCCAAAACAAACCTTTAGGGTTTTTTTAGGTTTTTCTGGTTGAACAAGTATTGTGCATTAACAGATTTAGTCTTTAGGGTCTGTAAAAACTTTACTAAGGCTTTTTCAAAATTAACTTTTCAAATGTTACAGCGTAGTAAAACCTTTCAGCCATTACAGGTGTAATATTTTAATGAATGAATGAACTGGCTTCTGACCATAAATATATTGCAGGCAAGATGGTGAGAGCAAGAAATATACTTTCATATTCTTGACAAATGAGCATTTGTGAAAATTTTCCACGATACATCTATTGACATTAAATATTTTTCATTTCCTTGTGTTCAAACTTATTGGTATATTTTTGTCATTTCTGTACTCTTTGAGGAGGGGAGGAGGGTGATTGCATCATTCTGTACCTCATTCAAGGTGAATTACTGCAAATATATTACGTAAAGTCTGATCTAGCTGCTTGCTTTGCCCCTGGACGTGGTTTCTGGGGCAGTCTGAAACAGAGGTCAGACAGCTGAGCGGTCAGAGCACTTTTTCAGGATGTTGTTTGCTTAAGAGGTCTCCATATTTTTTCTGTGAGAAAACCAATACATTAACTTTTGTAGACGTTGTGTTCTGTCCCTCTGAAACAAAAACTTCATCAGAAATGAGGGTTCATAGTGTCTGTTTTACTGTTGCTCTGTGACGAGCAGCTAGAAGGTCAAGTCATACATGAGGCTGTTACTGTACAAGGCCCCCTCATCATCTTTACAAGCTAGATGTGGGGGTTTTGTCTTTTCCCAAATCTGTACACATTTGTAAAAAAAAAAAAAAGACTCATTTTCATGTTTTCCTGAAGAAAAAAGGTAGTTAGACAGGGAATTGCCTTTATTGTGGAGAGTTAGTGATAAATACTGTTTACTTCTTCACATACTTTAAGACTCAGCCTAGGTTCCAGGTATTATGTCTTTGCTTCAATACCTGTCAAGAACATTGCTTGCTTTTCTGAATTCTCTCATCCTCCCTTTTCTTGTTTTGGATTGATGTCAAGACATGCAGTGACATTAAATACAGTTAGAGAGTGCATAGCTCATTGGAGCTTCTGGTTTAAGACCTGGTGGACAATCATATTAAAAAAACCCTTCTTTTTTCTGTTTTGTTTTTTTTTTTTTTTAAGGTGGAGAAAGATCAGTTATGTACATGTTCAGATTTAGGTTTCCATTCTGTATATATTATTATCAGACTGAGCAGTGATCTTATTACAGGTGTTTCAACAGGCACAAGTATTTGTGCAGGTGTGGTTTATGGGAGGAAATGCATAATTCTGGTTCTTTTGTATAGCACCACATTGACTTCTGCTGAATGACTGCATCTTAACAGAGGAAGCTATTCTAGATGGGAAGGGTTAGGAAAACCTCTGAATTTGGATGCTGTGTTAAAGAAAGTGGAGGACTGATGTGAAAAGGTGGCTTTATGAACACTGTCGCTGGTACTTCTTTTGTATGTGTGCTCCCTTTTAGCTAGTCAGGTTTCTAAATCACGCTCTTCAGTTTTTTAGTAAACTGAAGACAAGCAGAACTTAAAGTCCTAAAGGTGTTTTTTACAGTGTTCTGAGGAAAATCCTTTCTTGAGGTTACTTGTTTTATCTGCCAGATGTGCAGGTGGGGAGATGAGTACCGTACCTGGATTCTGGCTGGAACAGGGTCACAGCTTGGGTGGCCCAAAAACCAGACATCTCTATGCTTTTGCTCTGTGGAGCCACCGCAATAAAACTCTTCCACCTTTATTTCAAAATTTATCTTGAGTGTTCGTTCATACACTTGAGGAATAGGGGACAGAGCTGGGGATGAAAGAAAATTAGGTAAAGCAAATTAGAAAAGGAAGGAAATAGAAGGAGGTAGATCCAAAGTAGTTTTCTCCCTTTAACTGGCAGGATATGAGCCAGGGAAATGAGATGCAGAAGAAACTCTGAATAGTCCTGCAGGTAAAACTGAGATAATTTAAACTGCTGTAGAATAATTGGGAGCTAGATCAGTGCATACAGAAGAATGTTGAGTTGAATTCACTACCCATAGTGAGAAACTGAAATTCCTCTCACCCAACTTAATGTGCGGACAGTTTATTACTGAATGGTTTTTTTGGGTCCTTTTTAAGAACAAAATGTTAGCTTTCACTAAACATGAGGAAAATGGACTCAAACCTGAACACTGCTACCAAATAACATTGAAGAACAATCATCTGTAGTTACAGCTTAAATTTCTTTCCTCTCCTCTCCCAGACATTGTGTTAGTGTGATGCAGTCTTGAGGAGAATAAGAGCATGAAGTGCGGACAGGCAGTTTTTTCACCTAATTAATGATCGGATTTTTTAAGTGAGTGGTAGCCATCAGTGAAGTGCCAGAGCTTTCCCAGCTGGGTATGACCAAGAGCTCAAGATCTCCCAGTTCCTTTTGGACAGGCTGGGCTTACTTTGCTGTGCTTTACAAAGAGGGAAGGAGGTACAGAAAGCCCTGAGCAACTCTGTGGGGAGTCAGGTGCTGGTTTCAGCTTGGGATTGGTGCCAGTGATCAGACCCAAGGGGAGAGTGATGGGAAAACTGGCAACGAGACCCCATCAGGGATGTGGGGGGAATGTGTATATGAATGAGTAGCTTGCCACCAGCTCTGTTTTATCTCACTAGTGATGCTTGGGGTTTTTTTCACAGAATCACAGAATCGCCTAGGTTGGAAGGGACCTTTAAGATCATCTAGTCCAACCATAACCATTCAGAGGATTTCAAGTCTTTATACCTTTGGTGTTGAATGAAAATGAAAATAAATGGATGATGGGGAGACATCTTTGGGGGGCTTGTACAAGCACAGCTAGCAGAAGCGTATTTCTCTGCTCAGAGAGATGGTGTGGATGAACGAGTGTTCAAAGTCAGATTGGTTGGGACTTTGAGCAGCCTGATGTAGTGCAAGGTCTCTGCCCATGGTGAGAGGGTGGACTAGATGATCTTTGAAGGTCCCTTCCAACCCAAACAATTCTGTGATGCTGGATGGCACGTCAGAGAGGAACTTCATAACAAAACAGAACCTGAGTGTGCCAACATGTTTAGAGGGATGGAAAACAGATGCAAAAAGTGTCCAACTGTGGTGTTTCAGATTAACTGGGAGATGTCAGTCAGATCTCCTCATAATTCTTTAGCAATGCGTTTCTGAATGTGCTTCCCAGCACACTGGAAGCTGTATAGTATATATATATGTATTGCCATGTACTATATTGTATATACGGTCATACAGTGTATGTATACATACATCATGTATATAAGTATACTCTATAAATGCCATGATTTTGGGAAAAGTCTTGCTACTTGGAAGTCAAAATGTTAACCAATTTCTAGTGGTGTATTTGTATCTACCTTAACTATGTTCTGCTTATTTCTCTGTTTGCTTTGTAATAGCACATTTAAATTATTTTGAGGGTGTTGTTCTTCAGTTATGGTCTGGTTTTGGCTTTGTTCTTTCAAGCATCTCTTGGACTGACATTTGACAATATTTGCATAAAATTGAACCTTTATGGGTCCAAGGGGAATGACCTCATGTTAGTAAATGTCATTCCCTGTTTTTTAAGACTTGTGTGGTTATGCCAGTAATGATGTTCTGCAAGGTGGAAGGCTGATGGGCAAAGGGGTGGGAGCCTGGTTATAGTTTTCTTTGGTTAAGTAGAACTAGGAAGGAGAAGGCCTATTTACACCTTGTATTATACCCCCACCCCTTTTTCCCCCCATTTTGAGGAATACAGAAGCGTAAAAAAAACAACAATCCTTGAGCCAAATCAAGTGCTCAACAACTATATGATGTTTTCCACATTCTTCTGTTTTGTTTTGTCTATTTGGATTAAAAGGTCTTTGCTGTATTAACTTTGGCCTGCAGATCTCCAGCCTGCTCTTTTCCTGTGGATTTGCATCCGAAGCGTGGTGCTCCCTCCTCTCTGTTTCTCTCCCTGGACGGCGTCCAGCTGCTGTGTACCTCAAAAATGCAAATGTGCATCTCCTGGTGGTGCAGGTGGGATCTTTCCTGTTTCCTGCCTGGTGGTGCTAGTTGGTGCTTAATGGTACAAGTGAATTTTCCAACATGCTGTATAATTTTGTTGTGTGATTCCTGCACCTCCAGGTCTGACTTCTGCCGGAATGGTGCACGTATCATATACCTATGTGGCTTCGAAAATGCTCACTGGATCATGGCATTTAATCAAGTAGGATGGAGGCAAATTAGTATATTTTCAGAAAGTAAGTAGAAATAATGCGCCTAACCCTGTTAGAATCACTTGGAACCAAAACCTTCTCATAGGTTATTTGGGATCTTCTGGTGAAGCAGCAGCCTGCTGCATGCAATTAGGGATTAGCAATAAAGGAATGAAGGGATGCCTGTTTAGGGTAGGGGAATTTGTTTTCTCACGGAAGAGAGTAGCAGGGAGAAAGCTGCTCTGAGCTTGTGTGGAGCAGCAAGGGCTCATGTCATAAAACCAACAAACCTGAGGATGTGGGCAATCACATACAAAAAAAAAAAAGTAATTTTCTTTACTGTTGCTCCTTCCTCAGTGAGATCTGTCTTAAGTAAAGCTGTTTTAATTATTCTTATTCTAAATATTAAAATTAAATTACTTTGATGTTACTCTTTCGTAGTGATTGAAATCAAGGCAAATTTCTGTGACCACAGTCATAAACAGTATATTTTTGCCTGATATGCAAAGCTGGAAAACATCTCTAATGTGTCTTGCTAAAAAGGAAGAGCATTAAAAGTTCCATAAATAAAATTGTTTATAGAGAAGCGGTGGATGAAACACACTGCATTTAGGCTCCCATCTTACAATGTGAACACTCTACACTCAAATTTAAGTCTGTGTGAGGGAGTTGAAATCATTTCACACTGGCTAGGGGGATGTTTTCCAGAGCACAGACATCTTTAAAGCTGATGGACCCTCAGTAAATGCAGGACAAAATGGGCTATAGGGTTAAATATATATACTAAATGCTAAATTGACAATATTAGACTAAAATAATACGCAGAAATGTATACATGGTACTTTCAATGGAGTATTGAGAATACTAAGTCATTATGACAGGTTACTTGAGGAGAATATTGAGCTCCCCCCATGAAATAAATGACCTCTGTTAGTGGAAAGCAGGAGAAAAGTCTCATCTATGAAACTGTGCCTGCCATAATGTCCTCTTATTCTCTTAGACTTTGGCTACTGATTTTGTTTTCAGGGCTCCCTGAAAAAACCACAGAGTCGAGAAAGGTGATTCCTGGGAGGCTTTTAGACAACACACCACAGTAGCAGCAATTCTCTCTGGCACTGAGCCTCTCTGCATGTGGTATCTTCTAGAATATATCCAACTGCCATACCTCGATTTTACAGCCAAGTGACCACAGCAGAGGCAAGTTTGGTTTCTTGGAGTGATCCACAGGATTGTAATCCCACCAGATTTGCCAGTAGGACTGCTCACCTGGACGGAGATCAGCGTGGAGATGCAAGACTGCTGGTTTTTGCACCTTGAAATGTAGCTGAGAAATCAAAATGTTGGCCTTCCAGCAGCCCGTTCACCTCCCCTGCAGCCCCAAGCTCCCCGGCACCCCTCCTTGGTGTGTCCTGCAGTCTTTATTTGTTTTATCTCCTCCATGATTTCTGTATTCACCAACTGGTTGGTATAGCGTGTATTTGGATAGGTGAGCCTGCTACTAAACGTGTTGATTGTCTCCTGAACAAGCAAGTCATCAGGTCGTTTTTCTAGCTAACTGTTCTTTAATAGCCAGTTCTGTATCTGAATGTGTTGTGATGGAAAATAGATGCATTCACATGAGCTTACTTTTTTTGCAAAACTTTTTTTTTTTTTCTCCTGCCTCTCCAAGTTAGCACTTTTATCTTTTTCCTTTAATTAGAGCAGCTGGAAGAGCAGTAATAAACACACTTTCCTTTCCTTTGTGCTCACATCCTGAGTGGTACAGAAATACTCTGTTCCATTCTCTGTAAAATATTTGTGGAACTCTAGCTGAACATTTTTCTAAAAAATGATGTTTATCTGGATTTCCTTTAATTCCATGAATTTGGCCTGCATCTGTACAGGGAGTCACAGAAGTGTGTGAGGCAGCCAATATGGCCTGTCTGGGGTGGCAGGATTATGAGGACCACAAAAACTGGAAGTGAAGCAAGCAGTTTTTCATCTGACTGGAGCAGTGGAAAACCTTGGAGCCACCACCCCGGCGCATGCATACACGAGATGCTCTTGGTTGTTGTCTAAAGCACAAACGAGAATAAATAATTCCCTGGTATTTCTTCAAGATGTCAACAATAATTTCCTGTAGCACCATTGACTTTCTGGGGCTGCGCAGTCTCTGCAACCTAACCTTTAAAAAAAAAAAAAAAAATTAAAAAAAAAAACAGCTGCAAAAGTACAACATTGGGTCCAGAATTGTTTAGTTAAGGGCGGTGCCTGGCGGTTCTCCCTTAGGAGAGGGTTTGATGGGGAACATTATGATCCCTCCCCTTATCCTCTTGCTCTGTATAAAGGCCAAACAATAATAGTAATACTAATATTGCTGTGCTGTAACTTCTGTGCGTATCTCTATGCTTCTCTCTAGCTATACCAAATACTTTGGCTGTGATTAATAGCATTCCTTGCATACAAACTTTTACAAATCTGAGCTTCATTCTTGATTTGATTTTTATCCTGATAAATATAGACATTTTAAAAAGTCCAGTGTGAACACTGGGTATTTTTTTCCCCCCCTTTTCCCAGTATGTGTTTATTATTCATGAATGTGTTGCAACATCCAAAAATGTAATGAGTGACTCATAGAATGAGAAGAGGAAAAATACAGTTATAGCTTTTTAATGAGGATTCCTCAGGGGATTACAAGTGTCCCAGTTAAAAAACCACTGTTTGACTGTGTAAAACCCACCCAGGCCTTGCCTTTATGATCTGCCTGTGTGCATTTGCAACATAGTTTCATTTGGTATACATTTTTATTCATTCATTTGCCCGGTTTTTTTTTTATGTCTTATATCTGGGATGACATTCTGACATTAAAAACAAACGAAAACCACAGAACAACATGTTTACAAATAGTTCTGGAGGTTTTTTTTATTTTTTTTGTCAGAAAGGAAAAGACCAAAGGCTAAGTTTACTGTTAGTGGCATAGTAACATCTCTAATAGTTTTAGACTGAGCTTATATTCTTAAAAATTATCCTTGCAAGGACTCCAGAGCAAACATAACCATCCCGTTAAAGCAACACAGCTCTGAAGGAGTATAATGGTGGGGGATCTGAAGCTTACTTTGTGGGATGATGTCCAGAGCTGATCTACTTCAAAAATCAACATTGACTTTCTTTCTGGAAAGATTGTTTCTTATTCTTGGAAAAAATCTAACCTTTTCTTTCATAAGTATATGGTTTTTTTTCAGATTTTAACACTAGTTATTAATTCCACTTCATGCCTAGTATCCCCTCACCTTTGTGTCTTTCTTCCACAATAGGGGGAAACCCGTATTTGCTTAAAAGCTTTGTTTGGAGTGCAAATCCATTGAAATAGATAAGTGACTTAATGCTTGTCTTTCAAACCAGCTGTATGCCCAGGTGATAATTTCCTTTGGAAAGCTGTGGGTCTATCAGGACTGTATAGCCTTGTATAATATGAAAGTATATTTTTAAAGAATTTTCAGGGCTGGTACATATATTATGTAGGAATTTGGGATAAAAACATTGTGTTGCTATGCCCTTGCTGGTTCTAAGGATATCCAGTAATTATTACCATATAAAAATTAGGTCATTTTGGCTTTCTTTGTTGCAAATACGTGGTAGTGAGGTGTTCTGTCCATAAAATATCATTGCCATTACAGTGCGTAGCTCTACTTGGGCATTAAGTAGAACTGCAATATCTTTTGCCTTGTTACAGAGACTGTTGCTGTCTTTTCAAGCAGTAAGCTCTTGTAGATGGAAAAAAAAATATCCAGAGTTACCCATTTGTTGGTATAAAACACATTTCTCTGCTCGTTTACTTTCCAGTCTTTCCATTAGTTGCCTTATTTGTTGTAGGGATCTCGAGATTATATTTAAAGATGTAAGGGATGTTGGCCTTTTTGGATCAGTTTAGTGATCCCGAGTGAAGGACTGGGAAGCAGCAATTTATAAGTGAGTTGGGTTTTTTCAGGATGCAGGAGTCTTAACTGCCTGTCTGAATGTGGTTGGTGATAACATTAGGTGAGGCAGCAGGATTTCTCCTCTCTGTCGCCCGAGAAAGCCAGGAAACATTGCATGTGATCGACAAACATTTGCAGATCGTGGTTTAATTCTTTCTGGTTTGTGATTTCTGGGTTGGGAGGGGGGGGTATGGGTCTAAAGCCTGCTGAGAAAAGTAGTATTGGCTACAGATTTTTCCATCCGTATTTTGATTTCTTTGTATGACTGTCTCAGAGCTGTGGCTTTACAAGTGTGACTTCTGTTGCACCTACGGGCAGGTGCATTTGTAGGATGTTAATGACTTTCAGTGCACTTTCCAAAACAAACAGGCAAGTGGTGTGTGGAGGGAGGGTGGAACAGAACTAGGACAGGTCTGAGAGTCACAGGTTAAGCTGCATCTTTGTCCCTTCTCTCTGCCTGCAGCATCCCCCAGGTAACACGCCTCCAGGGTTGGGTTTTTTTCCCCAAGTTATTGCACAATGCAAGTCTTAGAGTGAAAATTTACCTTATTGCTGAACCGGTCTAGAAGTTCATTACCACCCACAGAGGGAGGTCCTATGTCCTTTGCTGGCCACGATCATCACAGCCTTGCTGAGCTGATTAAGAGCAGCCAGTGCTTCCCACCCACCCCAGTCAACTTTCTGCCGTGTTAATGTGTTTAATGGGATCAGTGGAAGGTTTAACAGGCACCGCATGAACCAGAACCAGTGCAAGGAGAGGATGGGGAGAGAAAAGTGTGACCAGGGTTGGTAGAGAAGTGCCAGAGAGAAGCTGGAGCCTGCAGCTTCTAGCTGAGGGTGGGTCAGTGGTTGTCCTGTGTCGGAGCTGTATTTACTACCTGGATTTTTGCAATTCTTTCCCTCTGAAGCCTGCTTGTCAGTAGGAAAGAGGGTACAACACATTTTAAACCATTTTCAGAAATATTGAGAAGTTCTACTTCTCAGCAGAGGCAAACCCATAACAAAAGGAGGAAGGAAGGAACTTAAAAGAGCGAGGAAAAGTGACTATATAAGTAGATTTTCCTAGAGGCTTGTCACCTCTGGGATGTGACCTAGGAATACCTTAAAAGTGATCCAAGAAGAGTTTGTGCAAGGCTGTACGAGGTCAGGGGTTTGCAGCTGTGTGGGATGTTGCTGCGCTACTGGCAAAGGCGGCCACCTTGCCAAATCTGCCTGCACTAGGAAACACTGGAGGCAAACTGGGAAGCGTCAAATGGATGAGGTTACAGCTGCCTGGTGCTCAGCTGTGAATCCCAAACACCTCTCTCGCCCCTTCTGCTACCAAGGTGTAATTTCTGGAGGCCTGGGAGTTTCCTGACCACAGGCTTGCAAAAGACTCTCCTGTGTGTTTTGAAAGAAGAAGACACTTACTATCTGAAAGATTCCAGTTAAACACAGGACAGCGGGGATGCCTTCCCTCCCAGCTTCTGGAAAGAAGGAAGAAAGAGACCTGGGGGTTCTAGTTGACAAACGGCTGAATATGAGCCGGCAGTGTGCCCAGGTGGCCAAGAAAGCCAACGGCATTCTGGCTTGTATCAAAAATAGTGTGACCAGCAGAAGTAGGGAGGTGATTGTGCCCCTGTACTCAGCACTGGTGAGGCCACACCTCGAGTATTGTGTCCAGTTTTGGGCACCTCAATACAAGAGAGATATTGAGGTGCTGGAGCGAGTGCAGAGGAGCTGGTGAGGGGGCTGGAAAACAAATCGTATGAGGAGCGGCTGAGGGAGTTGGGGCTGTTTAGTATGAGGAAGAGGAGGCTGAGGGGAGACCTCATCACTCTCTACAACTACGTGAAAGGACACTGTAGAGAGGTTGGTGCTGGTCTCTTCTCACAGGTAATTAGTGACAGAACGAGAGGGAATGGCTTCAAGCTCCAACAGGGTAGGTTTAGACTGAACATTAGGAAAGAATTTTTCACCGAAAGAGTGGTCGGGCATTGGAACAGGCTGCCCAGGGAGGTGGTGGAGTCACCATCCCTGGGTGTGTTTAAGGGCCGTTTAGATGCAGTGCTAAGAGACATGGTGTAGGGGATGACTTTGTAGAGTAGGGTAGATGGTTGGACTCGATGATCCCAAGGGTCTCTTCCAACCCAGATGATTCTATGATTCTATGATTCTAAGAATACTGGCCTGTTCATACACACTTTGTTTGCTACAACCTTTCCTTTCCTACAATTCAACTCGAGTTCAGAAGACCAGCACGGTGTTTTCTCTCAAATTCATTGTGCTCTACTTTCAGCCTGTACTCAGCGTGCACTAAAACATCACAGAACCATACCTTTAAATTGCTAATTAAGAACTGATAGCTGTGTGGGCTGCACTCCAGGTATCCAAAACCCTGGGTTCCACATTTCTCCTTTGAGATGCTTTTTTACTGAAATCTCGGAAGATGCAGGAGGTTTGTAGACAGCAAACAATTGTCTTAAGATTATCGGAAGTATATGGTCTGAGTTTGTGATTAAGTTGTTAAATATCACAGTGATGAGAACTTTTCCATACTTAATGTCCTGTAGCAGAGACTTTCTGTGGGCATAGGAGCAAGTTACCTTATCTCCTGATGCAATTTCTCCATGTGTAAATATTTAGGTCATTATGCATCCAGCAGTGTTAGAAACCCACAATACTTCCAGTCTGTGTTTTATGTAGCACCTACCACAGCGGGAGGTGCCAGTTCACAAATCCAGTGTACTGGGACAGTAACACAATGATAGATGTATATTACATTATATTAAAGTGTTGTAGCAGTGTACTATTGTTTCTTGGTGTTGTATACAAGGAGAAAAGAGGGTGAAGGAGTTTGGGTGCTAACTCAAGACTTTGGGGGAGGGCTGGAGATACTGGGATCCTACAAAAAACAAATACAAGGCAGAAGCTCTTTAAATCAGATTTTTATCCATCTTGAGCCAGGGTTTGATGACGCCCTGAGCTTATGTGAGTTGGTGGTGTGAGCCTGAGCTGAGAAGCAGGGTGGTGGGATCTCCTCTTGCAATAGCGGAGAGGAGTTACAGTGTCTTGAGCTGCTTTAGGAATGGCACCACGAGGTCCCACATAAATGGGAGCTTGCTAGGCTTCTCATGTGGTGACCTTGTGTATAATATAGCAGAAAAATAAAAAACAAAGAGATTTTAAATCTAAAGTTTCTGCTCCCTTTGTCAAAATATTTTTTCCTCCCCAACTGCCAACCAAAACAAAAAACTGAACACAGTC